GTGCGCCGGCGGGACGGGAGGGGGAGGGGGCCGGACGGAGGGGGCGACGTCGACGACGGGGAGGGGGTCGGAGCGGGGGGCGTTAGGACCGGAGCTGGAGTGGAGGTACGGGGAATAGGGGGAGACTGAGCGATCGGGCGAGGCCTCTGGAGATGCTGAGCTTGGGAAGCGAAGAGGTTTGTGAGTGAGGAGGTGGCCCGGCTCGGTGGTTTTTCTTTCACCAGCCACACGCCCCTGAACGTCCCCTTCCTCGAGCGCGAAGGGCACCTGCAGCCTCGCCCTGGGGAGCCGGAACAGGTCTGGCTGCCCAGAGAGCGCGGCATTTGAGCTGGCCGGGGTGACCCCACAGCGCCTTTCCGCGGACATCTGACTGGAGGGCGGAGAAGGAGACCCTTTGAGGGGTTGTGTGATGGCACATCTGGCACGGATACCTGTACTTAGACTCCTGTTGGGGCTTCTTTTTTCTCGGATTTCTAAGAATTTGAAGGATTGCTTTCTTTGTTTCCAACTTAGAGGTGGAGTTTAGTTCGTCTGAATTCATCTGGATGGAGGGGACACTTCAGAGCTAGGGTTCTGATCAGCGTGGCTGAGTGTATATGACAGAGTGGGTGTTTCAGGAGACAGGAGAGTTGCCCAGAGGATTCTGCTCCAGGTCATGACCCTTTGCAAGGCCTTCTAGGACCAGCAGGGGGTGAGTGAGGCCGTAATTGGGAGAGGGTCCTTATGAACGCAGGGATTTTTCTGCAGGTGGTTTGTGGTCCGGTTGGCCACCAAGTGGTGTCAGCGGAAGCTGCAGGCGGAACTAAAGATTGGCTCCTTTTTTTGGATTCAGAATGTCAGTCTTAAGTTTCAGCAGCACCAGCAAACCGTGGTGAGTCCTGGGAAACTCCCTGGGTATGTATGTGAGGTTGATCTAGTTGAATTTTGGGAACTTTTCATTTTTTAAAAAATTCCGGTGGCTTTCCTAGTTAACCCAGCCTTGCCACCTCTTTGCCAAGATAGTTTAAGAGTTAGTTTGGGAACACTAGAATTGAAGCAAGTTGTTCTGTTAAAAACACTTGTAAGGCACAGAATGTCCAGGGCACATGAGAAAGATGCAGAAGTAAAGCACAAAACAAAGATAATGGGAAGTAGAACAGCTTACTGTTCTAATTTAAGAGGGGAAACAAGGCAATGTATCCATAAAAGAAAAATACTAAACAAATTAAACATCATTGTGAGGAACAGGATATAGCACTGAGGAGAGAAGCTGGTGGAAATTGGAGAATATTTAGTGGAGGGGCTATAGCACTTCCTCCTTTTCTTAGAACCTTTCTTGTCTCGTCAAGCTGCTCTTGGCTTACCTAGCAGCTAGTGTACGAAGCTTTCTCCCACACTGTTTTAGGAAATTGATAGCCTGTGGATTTCCAGCAAACTCCTTAGCCATGATCTGCCGTGAGTACCCTCTCACCTCACTCTTCTCTTGGGGAATATATTGGGATTGCAGTTTATAGAATGAGATTCTTTTACAGAGGCCTCACAGCCCCAGGAGAGAAGTGGGTTCTTTCTTATGTCTCTGGGTTGGCCTGACAGCTAATGTTTTGTGAGACAGATATTGATGACTATCACGAAACTATTGTCCATGATTTGAGTTACATTTTTAGGAAGGATGAGAAAGTGGATGTGAGGGAGGGGAAGAGACTGCTATGGAAGGAATGGATTTGATGGCAGTGAGGTTTCTCTTCTGGACAGACACTATGTGGCTTTGTGCTTTGGAGAAGTACGTATCAGAACAGATCTACAGAAGGTTTCTGGCCTGTTTGCCCCATTCTCCCAGAGTACTGGGGTGCATCAAAAGGAGCTGTCCTTCAGCCCATCCTTATTGAAGATTTTCTGCCAGGTGAGACTACTTTCCCACTTTCCTGGACTGAAGTAGGAATGGCTGGCTTTGGAGTTATGGGTGAATTTTCCTACTGTATTTGAGGCACAATACTGAGATCTGCCTCTTACTCTTTTTCCTCTGGAAATGAAGGACATTGCCTTGAAGTTAATTATGGTTCATCTTTGCATTTTCCTTCCAGCTGTTCTCCATCCATGTAGATTCTATAAACATCATGGTTCTCAAGGTGGCTACTTCTGAATCCTTGTGGCATATTCAGATCAG